AACGACATGTTCAATGCACTTGGGGGAATGTTGGGCGTGAGAGATGACTGTCTCAAAGGTGGTAAAACACACTCGGGGGAATGTTGGGAGTGAGAGACGACTGTCTCAAAGGTGGTAAAACACACTCGGGGGAATGTTGGGAGTGAGAGACGACTGTCTCAAAGGTGGCAAAACAAACGACGCGTTCGACGCACTCGGGGGAAGACAGAAATGTCGTGGACACAGTCACAGTGTCGCTTCTTCATAGAAACTTATCCCACTTGATCCACCCTTCCTTTTTCCATCTGGTCTATCTACCAACTGGATCGCTAACAACAACAACAACGTCTATCTACCAACTGGATCGCTAACAACAACAACAACGTCTATCTACCGACAAAAGAAAGTTGTTTTTGAAAGCATGTAACACATGTATTTACTAATGTCCTGTCTCGTTGTGTGTATGCGTGAGTGCACCTAACCTTTGTAACATCCACCGCCGGTGTAAATGATCAAGACAAATTTCTCCCCGTGAGATGAATAAAGATTGTCATAGTCACTGCTATTGTCACTGCTATTGTCACTGTCACTGTCACTCATTGACCTTCCAGCCGAGTATTTCCCCTATTGAGGAGCCTACATGGTAGGGCAGATTTTCTCACTTGACTATAAAGTACTGACAAGCACACCATACCGTGGAGAAACCGTACGTACCTGTTTGTTTCTCTCTTGGTACAGATGACGACGTCGCTAAACAGAAACACGTACCGGAGTTTTCTCACACCGTTCACCAGCTCCACCAGGAAGCTGCTCTTTACCAGGCGCCGATTCTCCTGAGTCTGACGGTGGGAAGATAAAAGACAAATTACATATGTAGACAAAGAAAAGATAAAAGACAAATTACATATAGACCAAAAAAAGATAAAAGACAAATTACATATAGACAAAAAAAGATAAAAGACAAATTACATATAGACAGAGAAAGATAAAAGACAAATTACATAGACATTGAAGAGATAAAAGACAAATTACATAGACAGTGAAAAGATAAAAGACAAAATACAAAGAAAATGAAAAGATAAAAAAGACAATGCTTTTGAAGAAGACTGAGCTACAAAATGGAGGCCTCTTTGCTGTAC